AGGAGGCGAGTCCTGGGCAGAGTTCGTCAGCGCAAGCCTACCGACACTGTTTCAAGTGACTCGACGACCGAACGCGCGGGAAGAAGATGATGTGTTCGCAGCCGAGAACGCTTGTGCCAGTATAGCGAAGATACTGCACTACAACAGCACGAAGGTCAGCAACGTGCAGGAGGTCGTAACACATTGGGTGGATACACTGCCAGTCACCAACGATGAGGAAGCTGCACCCTATGCGTACTCTTTCCTGGCGCAGCTAATTGAACAGTAAGCCTCCGTGTTAACGTGACGTTCTGGCATGGATTAATAGAATGTGACAGACAAAACCCTGCAGTGATGTCTCAAGCCGACAAAGCCTTCGTCTTCATCGCGCAAGCTCTCGAAGCAGAGACATTGCAAGGACAAACAGCTACACGCATTGTCGGTGCTGCGAAACACCTCGTAACCGCTGCCGGGTTGGACGCCAACCAGCTGCTTGCAACGCTACCTCCTGAGACGCAACATACCGTCCGCGCTTTCTTCGGGTAACCCACAGGCTGCGGCGCTTGCATGTAAGGCTAGGGAGTACACTGCACATTGCAGCAGCAACGTCGCTCGGCGTTTTTGCTCTTACGGTTCTTCGTTCGGTTGTTGCACCTTCAGCAGGCGTGGATTTGAACATTCTTGAATGGGGTGAACGAACTTGTGGGATAGGACAAGCGGGACCTGAATTAAGCTACATGCTTCATAGATCATGGTGAGGCGGATGGAATGCATTTTCGCCTTGGCAGATGATATTGTCACGTCAACTTCAGAATCGATGAACTGTTCGGCGCTAGTGAGACATTATTGGCACTACGCAACTGTCTAATTGTTCATGTCCTTGCCTTGTGAGTCTACCAAGTGTGCGAAAGGTGATATCGCTGTCTTTCTTTACTCGACCTGGACAGTTGCCCGGCTTCCTCAAAGTGCATGCGAGGCTCAGTGTGCCCATACACCCATGCCCTAGAACGCCATTGCCTGCTCTAACCAAAACATGTGCTGCTGCAGAGGTGGTAGACCAGGGACTGCTTTCCATATAAGACAGCATAGTTCCAATCACCCGGATGCCGTGTATTCTCCTTTTCAAGTGATCGGAGAAACTCGTTAACCTCCCGAAAAAACGCATCGACCGATTTTAAAAGATATAGAAACCGATCTCCTAACAACAAATAGTGTTTTTAAGCTCTATAATTACTAGTAGCTCTAGATACTACTATACTCTTTGTCTTCTACTATAGAAATAATTACTATAGTATGATTTTAGTATTTTATTAGAGGAATAGTTATAAAGAGTATTTTTATACTATATATGAATATTAGTAGTCCGTCTTACTTTTAAGATATTCTTTCTTAGATATCTACGTAACCAATAGAGTTATATAGTTACTACTTAGTATATATTATATACTACCTAAGATGTTTTTATAGAAGTTTCTTAGACTTTATTATAATTCCTCTAAGACTTATAAATATAGTAAATAGTCTAGAATTTATAAAATAACGTCTTAAAGTACCTTTAAAAGATTATTAATAGACTTAATAGATATTTGTAGTAAGCGAAAGGTTGCTTTATAGTAGCTATAAAAGGTTTATAATATAGAACTATAGTTATAAGCACTTAGTTGTGAGTAGTTACGTTGTTAATATTAAAAAAATGAGTATTTTTATCCCGCGAACAACATCGGTTTTTTCGGACGCGGAACCTCTGTTTCGCCGATCACTTGAAAAGGAGAATAACGCCTAGTCCCAGAAACCTAGGTCAGTAACACGCTAGTCTATCCTATGCTTTGACGTCCCACAACACTTAATACCTCACTATCGTGACTTGTGTCCCGTTTAAATGCAAGCCAGTCGTGAACACCGCCCTCACTCCTGCACCTCCCGTCACATTGACCCTCGCATGAAAGGCCATCACATACCTCTCCGCCACGTGGTCCCACCTCACTCCCACACTTCCTGGAGCCTGAAGGTCCCAATCTCCAGTCTGCAGAAGCTCGCTCTCCGCACGCGTAGACAGACCGGTAATTTTCATAGCAGTGGCGTACTTCACGTCGTACGACGGGGCGCGTGTGCAGCCAGAACTGAAGAATAGGAAGGAGACGCCTTCAGCTGAGCGCACGAGTTGGGGCGCCTCGACCAAAGGTCCGTCCTCTGATACGCGGTCAAGAATCTGGACTGCGGGTCCGCGAGGGGTGACGCCATCGCCTTCCATGCGCTGCAAAAGGATCGGTGTTGGCATGATGGGCGCCACACAATTGCCGCATATGCCACCGTTGCCGTGATTGTTGCCGTCAACGTTGTATGCAACGTAGATTGCTCCATCAGAGTCAATGAAAGCTGTGGGGTCGATGGCGCCGCCTACGTTTGTAGGACAAGCTATCGAGCCAGGAAGGGAACGATATGGACCTGCTGGAGAATAGTTGGTAGAAACAGCGGCACCGATGCAGTGGTTAGTCGTCGTGTTCCCTGCGGCAGCCGAGTAGTACGTGACGAATCTACCATTGCTCGATCTTCTCAAGACGTCGGGAGCCCAGACGTTGGCTCGTTGGATGCCGGTACTATTGCTCACGTCCCTATTCGCCCAAGCACCGACCTGCGGGAGAGGGTCTTGGATGGACTTATGCAAAATCCAATTCAGGAAGTCCGTAGAAGTAGCGAGCTGGATATTCGAGCGCCCATAATCAACAGCTGTACCGTTACCCGGCTGATGCAGAATCCCAGCCGTATTGTTCGTAGCAAAGGCGTACCAGGTTCCGTTATCATCTTTGTATATGGCGGGGTCAACGAAGTTGACGGTGATTGCTTGGTGTATGAGAATCGGATATTTGACTACGTCTCGTGCTTTATTGTCGCGGTCAAGGACCGTCGCTAGGACAGCAACCAGGATCGTAGTGAGTATAACACAGATGGCAGCACCGGTGAGGAGTGAGCCTCTGGACAGCAGGGAAAAGCGGCGGTTCGCTGGGGAGTATCCTTCGTGGGATGAGATAGTCGTATCTACAGGTTTATAGAAGTGTCATTGTGTAAAGAACAGATGATTGAGTGATGTTTGTGGCGGCGTCTCCGTCGCTGTCATGGCGTGAGGAAGCAGGACCTGACCGACGAGTCTGGTAAAGGTCTCTCAAAAGACTGTTCTGTTATAGCCTTATAGAAGGGATCCACCCCTCTCGCACCATTGAATGTACCGGCTGAAAGGCGAGCGAAACTGAAGATATTAGGACCTTGTTGTCCTGCAACGAAAAGTCAAGGTACAGATCGCCCTCGCACTTCAAGGTGGCATTGAACGCAGAGGTTCCCATGCAGCTATCAAGGTAGCAAGGATGGCGAGAGACGCGGTACTCGGCAGGGTAGTTTTCTCGTTGGTCTGCAGACCATCGCATGCCGGGCAAGCTGGACTGCTGGAAGCTCTTTCCACCAAGAGCCTACGCTTCAACTGCGTCATTCGAGGCACCGTGAGTGGCTCGCTAGGGAAACCTCTACTTTCGTCTTGATTCAGTGCCACTTGGAGTTGCTGATGAAGTGACCATGGACTCATTGCCAGGGAAGAAACGCCGTCTCGAACGTAGCGATCAGTGGACGGCGGGTCTTGTAATGAGTCGTGCAAAGTCAACTCTCCAAATGTCTATCTGCCTACAGATTCCTTTACCTTACTGAACATCTATTTGAGAATCGAAGGAACGAATGGTGAAGGGGTGCGGGAAGGGCGAGAATCTCAGATATGACTTCTGTAGCATCCCTCGGATCTGTCGTTGGAGTAGTAGGTCTATATGCCAACTGTGTGTCGACCATTAGACGTGCTTGGGCGCTTGATAGTAGTCGCGATGTAACTTAGGAGGATGCAATGCAGTTAGAGGGATTGCAAAGTCAGCGGAATACATCCTCTACATACGCTATCGGTTTCGGTCTAAATACTACAGCTGAGCGCGAATGTGTCTAATACTAGATCTACAACGAGATGCTAAAGTAGTGAAAATCTACAAAGATGTTGACCCCTACTCGTATATCAAGCGTCTAAGGTCTACATGAGAAGTACAAGCGTCGGAATGCTTACAGAGAATAGCCGAAGAAGCAGTTGTGGAATTGGTAAAGGGGTTAGAGGTTAAAAGAGAACTCCGATGTAGTTGAAAGGATCTTGTGAAGATAGGAATGTAAGTTTTAGCGCTTTGGAATCGAATCGATGACGATTCCATCACGATGTTACAAGCAGAGATACTGGTCCGCGATGGCAACGACAGCTAGTGATAGAAGTAGTGTGAGTTCTACTCATCTATTACTGCTGCTTCTACTACTAGCTGTTGCTAGAGGCATCTGCCAGATAAGATAGCTCACGGACCCTAGCTAATAGCCTGTAGCTAATGATACGGCTCTTAAGCATCTCGAGTGCCACGACTAGTGGTCTTGTAGTCGCCGCTAAGATACACCGGGCAAAAGGTATCTGAGTAGAACAAGGTAATCTTCCAACATTATCCGGCAAATGCCTTCCCTTAGTTTCTTCTTGTCTGACGGTGAAAGTTCCTAGAAACGAACAAACGTTATGCAAAAATGCCTCCTCTCGGAATCGAACCGAGGATCTTCTCATGTCGAAAATACGAGTGAGACGCAGTACCACTATGCCAAGGAGGCTAGATTGGAACTTGTTCCAGCTTATATCACATATAAAGTAAAATAAATACCACATTAGTCCAACGGGGTTAAGTATGGAGCTATCATCGTACACCTCAAAGATCTAGAACTACATCAGGCAGTTAACCACATGAAGCACCAGGGCGCTCTACAAGCACCGTAGGTAAAGTCCTGCTATAGTAGCTTAAAGTATTATTAGATTGCTCGAGTTTCTTGAGTTCCTTACGAGTCTCTATCAGATTCTAGTTTGTATGAATCCGTCTGGCTGGCTCGTATTTCTATAGTAGAGCATTTAAGGTGCGTAGTAGGTCATGGCTAGTGCTAGGGAGACCGATTGTGGTGTTAGCTGACGTCGTATCTCAAACATTGCAATAAAAATTCCACCAATTGAAGGGCATCCTGGGGAGCCGATAAGAACTACGGCCACGTGCTTACGAGCTTTTCGCCAACGCTACTACCAGCCCAATCGTCTATCGTGAGTTATTGAGGATCTTTGTACCTACCAACATGCATACTGATGATTTGTTCAGGAATCGTGCAATCGGCGGTAGTCTCGAGTACGAGGGCCCTGCAGTTTACTCACATGTGATCGGAAAAAGTGGTATCGCCCGGCTGTACGTTGGACAAAGTGACAGGCTCGAGCACCGCATCCAACAGTCTGTCCCACCGGAAGGCGAGTCCCTGCCTCCATTACCTTGCTGTGGAGGGAGCAGATCGGCCCCAGTTCGTGGTGCTCTGCTACCTCCCTGGGTGTGCGACGGCATCCACAGCTTCTGCGTCGTCAGATTCTGACGAAAACTTCGACCAGCTCTCCTTGAACGCGATGGTAATATGGTGTGCGTGCATCTTCCAGTCACTGCAGTCAGGCGTGTTGCTACAGTGCCTTCCTGCGGTCGCCGAGCCGCAAATCCACCTCAACGTTACCTCTCCCTTAGCACAGGGCGACCAGGGTGTGTGGCGTATACCTGATAGCCTCTGCAGACTCATTGCACGCAGAATACCTCACGTTAGTGCGCGAGAAAGGCCAGGGAACGCAAGCAGCAGGGAAGAGGGAGGGTATAAGGGACGGGTTTCTCGATGGTGGGTTTTTCCCGGTCCAATCAAGAAGGAGAGTCATGATCGGCAATTGCGACATATACCTACTCAGGGAGATCGGGTCTATTTTCGGGGTGTGGATCGACACAGAGGTCTCTCCTGCAGGTACTGTGCATCCTTACGTATGCGCACAGATGGCCGAGCCTGGAGAACCTCCTTCTCGACTTGCGTTCAGTGGTAGCTGTGGAGCTGTGCAAAAACATCTGGTTGTCCACGAAGGAGAGAAGACCGTTTGGGTTCTGAAATCGACGGTAGGTTCGGCAATCGAAGGCATACCAGACGGGGAGATCGCGAAGACACTCCGAAGATGGGTGAAGAAGAACATCAGCAACGGCCACGAGCAACACTCATACACCGTCTGAGCTGGCCATGTTGTATTGCTGAACGTTCCCCCTTGACGAGCAGAATCTCCGTGAGATTATTGTTGTTTCCCGTCACAGGCTGGATCTTCAAGAACTGATCGTTGTTTCCCCAGGAGAAAGAATTCTGATGAATACATGATGAACTATCGTCGTGCCCCTTTTGTGGGCAGTGCCTTCGGATACTTCAAATTGTACGAAGGTACCTTGGCAGGAAGCCTTCTGTTGCATGTTCCCGTCACCGGCCGGACTATCTGGAACGCCTGACTGTTAGAGGTCATTTACGCACCAACCAGGTGTAGACGGTAGAAGACTCTTTGCACTGTATCCTAGTCGTAGGGTTACTCTGCTACATCTATGACCCGAGATCGATTGTAGACATAGTTTCGATGATTCCAGCATCGCACGTCTTCCGCTGACAAGCATTTGGACCGTGCTTGTCTCCGCTCCGTGTCTAAAGCCGAGACAGAACTCAGGAAATGCAACCACACGGTTGCATCATTAGGTCTGCTCTTGCAAGGCTTCGAGATGCGCACAACTAGGACAGTGCGTGCTATAGGCAAAACAATTTGCATCTCGTGCCAGTTCCTCCCGACTGATCTTTCTGACACCAAGTTTCGCAGCTGCAACGGCTTACAGACAGAGTATGTCGGGAGACAGAATCGCCGAGATCCAGCAGGAGGGAGGGGACGACCCAGGTCTCCGAGCAGACATGTTTGGGCGCGATCCCAAGCATGTCGCCGACGTGTGGTACGGAAAGCCCTTCGCCAAGAGCGGAGCGGCTTGCCTTCCACTCCGTTCCGCCGTTAGGCCGGTGTCTAGCGGTCCAGGTGTCACTTCTTCTGGTCAAGCGGAAGCAGTTTTGTTTTTTGCGGCGCACGTGACGCGAGCCGAGTAAAGCCCCATGCTGATTGGCTGTTAGATTCGCTCTTGCCGAGGGAACGGCTTATCTCGACCTGGACGCTGGCTGTGGAGAGAGAGAGAGGGAGAGAAGGAGAAGCTTTGTCGTCACCCAAGCTCTGCCCACCTCCTCTTCTCCACCAGTTCTCAATCCTGCATCTGCACCCTCCTCGGACTGGCCACTGGACACCTCCAGCATCTCCAGCTCAGCTCCCTCTGCCCCTGACCACCCCGTTGTCCTCCACTCGCTAGAGTAGTCTGCTGCTGAGCTCCCGACCGCCGCCATGTTCAGAGCCAGGCAGCTTGTCCGGCGCCTCGCGTCGGTCAGCGATGCTCCCCTCAGCAAGAAGGTCGAGATGACCAACTGGGAG